TGTCTATGCTATACTTGGACAGGGAACATTCCCTTGAAATCCCAGGTTCCCAGCTTTCTCAGTTCCTGAGTTGCCCAAATTCCAGCCAGAACTACCCCAGTAAAAACCAGGAGCGCACTTTCTTATCCTTTTCGCTCTTCACGGCTCCCCTCCCCCCTCAAATGTACATTACTTAGTCAATCGGCAAAGGATCTACGCCATTTAGTCTTTATATCCATCTATCCTAGCCCCATTCCTTGCCTCGAACGAAACCCGCCACATACCACCCCCAATTCCACCTGCCACATTCAAACTGCCGCCATTCGCCGTGGAACAGCCCTACCTGCCGTTGGAAGAGAAAATTTTTTGCAGGTCGTGTATGAGACGAGCCGAGCTGAGCCGTGTTTTAGTAATATAGTGGCGGTGAGGTTTGATGTCTGGTCAGGAACTTTTGGGGGGTGGGGAGGGGGAGGTTGGGTGTCCCACGCTGACGCGTTTGCCTTAGCCTCCCCGCTCCTCTCAGCCCGGAGCACAGCACAGGTCCTCGAAAAGAAGACTGGTGGCGCGAATTACGGATGCTGGGATGTTGGTACGTGATGTAAACAGATTTGCCTGGAATTTTCTACAGATGTTCTCCATATCTGTTCGATTCGTATCCGATATGCAAGTTCTTTGTTCAGCGTCGAAGAATTTCTCCGCTTGAAAAATTATCATTATGATGGGACACTTTGGTAATTTGTTGTTTCATCATCGCGTTTCTTCTCGCTGCTGATGTAGCTGGCAACTTCTCCATTCTTCTCTATTTCGCATTTCTCTCATTCACATAATTCCAAATAGCCGTTCAGACGGCTTCGTCCATCATACCAATAACCTCCCCTGTGTTCTTTTAATATTAAAATATGCAGTTTGCAGGATTACATGATTTTGTAAAAAGGAGTTTCTTTGTGGGCGTTTCGGCACATCACAGGGATTTGGCTTATTGTCGGTGATCTTCTGTAGAATTGCGTGGTCACTGAACTTCACGAATAACAGGTTAGTTTCTTATTAAATTATAAACCCAGTGAATCGCACCGGGCGAGCCCGTACGGTCGTGCGTTTTTGCACCAGACTTGAAGTACTCAGGTCATTAATTGCATGAATGGTTGTTGCTTTACACCTACCTTTTGCGATCATAACATAAATCACTATAAATTTTGCATGAAGTAAATGTACAATTTCCATTCAACGATCGTTTTTTAAAAGTAACCGAGTTGTTCAGTCAGGAAATCAGCCAAAATTTTAAGTGTCCGCACGTAAGAACCACGCGTAACTCAAGGCTGAATTTGAAATACTTAAGTTGTACTTGGACAGGG